AAATTAAAACTAATTAACTAATTGAAAAATGATTCTCTATATTGTATCATTAACTCTGTAAGTCTTATTACATTATAAAATTGTATTTTATACAAACAAACCCTTTATCGCAAACATGAAGATGATGATGATGATGATGCAAGTGAACAAACGATAAACGACACTGTTGACGACAATGTGTTAAACCAGGAAAAAAACAAACACGAAAACATTCATTAGACGATAGTATAAAATAACAGATTTGGTAATAAAATTGATTTAATATTTTTTGAACATGACAAAATACACATTAGAATGAATTGAGAAGTGAAAATAAAAAGACATGTAAAAACCTCTGAAGGAGAAGAAGAAGAAGAGGAGGAGAAGGAGGAGGAAGAAGAATTCAATGAAAAGAAAGAACCAATAGTGGGAAAAATTGCAACAACAACAAGAGTAATAAAGAAAGAAATTGGAAAATTCTCGATAATTTAAGCAAAAAAATGATTAATTAATTAATTAAATTAAAATAGTTTCTATTAATAATTCAATTCAATTTAATTAGATAATAATTGAAATACAAAATAAGGGAGAAGAGAATAAATTTCTGAACTATATACTTTCTCTATGAACATTAAAATGGAAATGAAGAAGTAGTAAAAAGAAAAATATCCTTAAAATTTATAATAAATATTTCAGCCTAAAACGTTTGATGACCAGCAGTAGAATTCAAGAGGCGTGTTTCATCCTATTTGAGATTTGTTAGCTGGATTTACTTGCATCTCGGAGTTGATGTTCACTTTGAGACTCGAACCCAGTACCGTTCACTTCAAACGCTTAAAACTTTTACTGATATCTAACTAGTTATAAACTATGTAATTTTTGAATATTAATAATTGAATTTATTTTCGTGTATAATCACTTCACCTTCGCGAGGTGATTGATCGTGGATGCGCAGTGCTGAAGAGTCCCGTACCAGGACGAAACGGCCATCCAGTGCTTCCAGGTTTTCCGTGGTGGTCTAGCTTCAATTGACTTATGATTTCAATCAGTGAAATTTCCAAAATCTCCACAAAAACCCCTTCTGATATTATTAGTTTAATCAAGGTTTCAGGGCATTAATTCTTCTATTAAGATATTTATCATTTTTTATTTAATAACTTTCAACTTTGTTTAGATTTTTGCTACAACATACTGATACAGATATTCATATTACTTTTTAATTAACAAATTTATTAAAATGTGCAAACAACTGATGAGTATTGAATAAAAGGAATTTCGGTTATTTTCCTTCATAACGATATACTTTGGTTAAAAAGAGCACGAAATATACATTTCGAGGATGCGTAATATTAGAAAATGTTTCCAACTACAATGAATCACGTATCTAGTGTTAGTTAATGATAAAGTTATACTTTTTTCCATAATGGAGCAAATTCCTAGGTGAAGTACTTTTTTCTTTTCATCTGGATGGTTTGATCGTAAAGAATAACAATGAAAGCTCCACGATCAAACTATTCAGTTGAGAGAATAAAACTCCATCTAAATCATCCTCCTGAACTATAAATATTCACCACCAACTCAGAAGTGAATTCATACTAATGACTTTAAAATTTACCAATAAATTACAATAACTGTATTTCAAATCTAGAAAAAAATTGAAGTGACAGAAGAGAGGAAAAAAACTGGAGAGAAACCTAGAGATTACCAAAAGTAGGTGGGGAAAAATACATTTATATAAAAGATTTTTAACTGGACTGTAATGATAACTATCATTGTAGGATTTGTAACACCATAAAGAAGGGTAATAAAATATTTCAGACAAGTGTTGTTAACATTAGAACATGAAAGAACCATCAATGATAAAAAATAATAATAATAATATTAATAATAATAATAATAATAATAGTAGTAGTAGTAGTAGCAGTAGTAGTAGTAGTGGTAGTAGTAGCAAACAATCTTTTTTACGTGTCTCCTAATCCTTTACGTAAATAATAAACAAATACTATTTAAAAGAAACGATTAATTTGCTTACATGATTGTAAAAAAGTGTTATCAAAAACGTTATATACTCATCTTCATAATAGATTTCCACGTTTCAGTATACGTCCTGAGTATGTGAAGTATCATACATACTATTTCTCTAAAAAAAAGTTCTGTTATGACAGTAGAGACATATCGACTAGATACAGAGGTTTATATTATTTTCAACGAAACGAGTGACGGAATCATTTCAAAAAGAAGCCAGTAAATCAAGCATTTTTTCAATGGATTTATTTTCAGACTATAGATTAATTGCAACGTTAGTCCTAAATTTCTTCTGCATGGTGGAGAAGATTTGTAGCTCAGGTGGATGATTTTGATGGAGTTTTGTTCTCTGAGCTGGATGGTTTGGTCGTGGAGCTTTCATCGTTCTTCTGAACAACATCAGCAGCACAAACTTCGGATGTGTAAAGAACAAGCATATGGAGAAATTCGAACACTTCACTTCTATCTAAAGTTTGTGCTGATGATGTCATTCACAAGAACGATGAAAGCTCCACAAACAAACCATCCAGCTCAGAGAATAAAACTCCATCAAAAATTCTTCTGCATGCTCACGAGTATCTTGAACATATTGTGCAATCTTGTATTGTTGTCACATATACGACTGAATATAATAACTCTTATTATGACGTTATCATGATTATATATATATACGTATGTATTACCATTTTCTGGGTTTCATTTTATTGGAATACATCATATCGTAGTCTTAACGTGGGGGCCTCTCCTCAAAGTCTTATGTTCGAGTCCTGGTGAGGTCGTGAGTTCTCAGGCTTGAAACATCCAATACAAGGTTTACAGACATATTCACTTTTCATCAGAGAGAGTATTCAATTTGGAAAAAATAAAAAGTCTTATAACTCCAGATGGTTAGAGGGCGTAAACAAATGTTTCAGCCTAATTTAAAAGAAATGATCAAGCTAAGAAACAAATTATTACTTTAATTAGAAATGGACAGAAAACTGTTCACTGACCGGTGCGAATTTAACAAATGCGAATAAATTCGATAAATGAATTTTTAAAAATACTGAAAAATATGGAATGTTTGTGGAGAAATAATAGATTAAATTACGCACAAACTTTGGGGAAAAAATAAAGTGTGCACGTAAACACAAAGTGAACATCCGTGATCCATTCAAAGTTTAAACCAAAGATTTTCGGACCTTACGACTGGGCATGTTACTTTTAAACCATTAAGGTCATCGTTCGGCAGTCAGAGTTTTAAACCTTAAGTGACCTCCAGGATTTTAAAGACTGTTTAACAACAAAGTCAGTACTCAACAACTTCTAAAAACTTTCTATCCTACCAACGTATAAGTTAACGCTGTTGTTGACCAAGTTGAAAAACAAAGAAAAGTAAAAATGTTTACTTAATTACCAATAACTAAACATATATACTTGTGAATTGTAAATGAAAAAGCTATGATACAATTAAACCACTTATTTTAGCCTAAATGAAATCTGAAAGGGAGTAAAGTAGCTGAACTAGAAATGAGAGTAATAATCTAGAAATTGTAAGGTTAATCCGTTTAGTTTTTAAAGTTGGAATATATCAACTTTCCTATGATCATTGGTGGTAAATGATTCGAAAAACCTTGTAAAATCTAATCATTAGTAAGATGTTGAAACAGACAATTGGAACTGGAAATAGTAGAGTGAGATGTATTATACTGAAATTTAGCTCAAATTCTGATTACATTTTATTGAAGTACAACATTTTCAGGTTAAACAAAGTTCAGTTAACGTTGAGCCTTGACTGATGTTTGAATTCATTTGCATCTAAGAATTTTATAGTGTAAAATATCTGCAGAAAGAATGAATTAGATAGATGCCTCGTTTATTGTAAAGCATATATACCCTCACATCAAAAAATTATAAGGGACCACTTTTGACTTTAATAGCATTAAGTTTCGTTTTTCAACCATATTTTAATTAAAAAGATTTTATCAATATGGACTTTTCCATTTTGTTACTTATTACTGATGAGTACACACACCCAATCTCATGATAGATTCAATTGGGATCAAAATCAATAAGTTTTGAAGCAATCTATGATCGTTGTGTAATATCACGAACTAACTAAATTTAACATTATCTGTCATCAGATTTAAAGTAAATTCATTGAATACAAAGTGATAACCATGAAAACTAGAAATATTAGTATCATACCAATATACACTGGATGCATATAAACACTTTTATTTTATTTTAATTTCGTTTTAACACATAGATATTGGTACAAACGGGCACCGAATACATATGTGCCACACAGATCTCATTTGATTTGTGTGAGGGCTGTGATACTGCCTAGGTGCCCAGACCGAAACAGATGGTTTTCTTAGGAGGCCACACACGGAGCATTCGACCTGAAGGTCTGATCCACAAGGCAGTGGAGCATCGTAAGGAGATGCAGTCTCATGGTAACCGTGACGAATAATTCGTTCATACGCCATTTGTTCACTCAGGATACTGGAGCCCATGTGCACCATTGGTTTAGGATTAGGGTTTTCCAACTCCCTTAGGTGTACCCTCCATGTCCACCAACCCGATTAAAGCGCCGGACATTCGCTTTTCGTCCTCTCCATTTCCTAAATAATGCCCATGCCACGAGAAGGCAGTGAGTAGGACTTCCTTGGCAGAGGCTATATATGCGTGGCCATGTGAGAGCATTTCGGGAGGGTGGGCGGTCTCTGTCCACTCTCGGCCGTACCACGGCATTTGGGAGCCTATAGACATTGTAAACGAAATAATTGTCCAACACTCTTATATGAATATTATCAATAAACAACAACAAAAACAATGTTAATTATAAAAAGAAGAAACTTATCAAAACAATCGAGAAATAAAAAGGGTTAGACAGAGGACACAATTAGTAGACAAATAAATTTGCACAGAGATATATACAACATTTTTCATTCAAGTATAATAATAATAAAAAAGACGTAAAATGTATATTGATAAATTAAAATCGAACTTACCTAACTGAGTCATTCCTATGTAAATTGAAGATTTTCAATATAACCATGGTGATATGAAACATAAAAGAAAAAGTATAAGATAAAAACTAAACTAAACAGAAAAAAAAACAATGAATGAATAATCAAATAGTAGAAAATAATACAAGTTTAAACTGTTTACGAATAATACTATACATGCCAATTTGTAGACAAAACTATTCATTTAACTTGTAAATAGATAAAAACTTAGATGTGTTAGATACCTACTATGAAAGTTCAGTTGTTATTAAGAAAGAAAAAACTCGGCGCTCAATTACTGTCAAGCTATTCGATCTAATCTTGACGAATATTCGTATAAAATAATAAATAAATTCTCCACATTGTAACAAACATTAATATTTCTCGGTTTGTTAACTGACCAGAGAATTTCAGTTGACAAATGAAATGCTTAGTTGATTAAACTTTCTTAAGCAACAACATATTGGGTGGTGTAACTTTATTCCTATATGTATTTGACCGTGTTTTATAGAAAAGGCTGTTGCTATAGGAATAAACTATAACGGAATCTCGTTTATACTACTGCTATTATTGTGTTAAAGTTCAAGTATATGAGGAGGATTGAGGAAAAATCTTGTTTGTCCGGTTTCATTTTCTTGAATTTTAAAGAAAATTTGACAAAAGAATAGTTGCTTTATCTGAACAACCACTGAAAATCAGTGAACACTATATTGTGGAAATGTAAACTATTCAATGTCAAATTAGTGGTCTTAAAGTTTTGTTTTCACTGCGATATTTGAAAGTCATGTATTTGATCTTAAACGATGTCACTGGAATATATTTCTTTAATCTCATATTAAGGCAAAACGGTTGTTATTTTCACTAAGATCAATTTTAGACCACCACTGGAAACGTGGAAGCGGCCGTCTTGTTTATTATAGGACACCTCGGAAGCGTGTGTCGACAAACTGCACATGGGAATCATGTTCTCATTGGTAACTTGATGCGAAAGAGAATTCTCGGAATTCTGGTGAAAAGTGATGACCAGTGGAGTTTAACCGTGTCGAATGTAAGGCGATTACCCACCGAAGACAATGGAAGACAATCGCTCAACATCATGGATTGACTGAAACTAGATATTAACACCGTTGGATGGCGATTCTGATCTGTAGGTTAAGCGTTTGCGACCGGGACCGAACGTCCTGGGTTCGATTCTTTCATGAGGAGTACTGAATGCGAACCTCTCAGCAGTTGTACAGATTAAGTCAATCCGTGATGTAACCCACTGTTACTACTACCGTACGGAATCAAAGCAGAAATTCCAATGAGTTGACAATTTGTTAACTAGTACAATGTGTCTATCTATTTCTCTATTTAATCTATCACCTGAAATTAAATTACACTAAACACTCTAAAAGAAGCAACGAGTAAGCCTAAACATATTAAAATAATCATATCTTAAGAAAATCGACAATTCAACAAACTTTAAGGTGGGTAACCGTCAGAAACTATCAACAGAGTAAAATGGACCGAATCCCATAATGAGGTATTAAAAAGGCGCTTTTCAGCGGTGAAAAGAAAACTTGACCGATTATTTAAAATGAAAACAAACTCAAATGGAAATAATACTTATCTAATCTATATCATATTTATGCTCTTCATTGGTTTCTTTTACTGAATACTGATAAATTTTATTTTTTGTTTTAATAATTTTGATGAGATTGAATGAACGGTCATTGATAGACAAGGTGTAATTGACAATTGAGATTCTGCACTGAACCATGTTCTCAATCCCATAAGAACCACATACAGTGCCTGGACGTCATCTGTTAAGCACACTACTAATCATTTACTGAATTGTAATCGGATGACTTTCATTTATGAATATTTTTAAACTCATGATCTAGTGTAAACATTATGTAATGTCGCCTACTGGTTTGCAAGCATTTCATCCTTCAGTAAGTCAACTCTATATGTTACGAAGTTTTATGGGAGTTCCAGATTTTAATCTTCAATCGAACCGTGTATTGACAAGCTGAGATACATAAAATATGATGATAAAGTTCTTTATTAGTCTCTAGATCTCAATGGTTAGCCAATTGGTCTCTAACCATTAAACAAAAACTACCTTCAAATCACTGTGGATCATGATACTTTTCAAATTTGGATTTTCGTTACTGCTATTAAATTTATTCACTTTTTTTTCTTTTTTTGCTCTTGATGTAGATATCTCTTTCAAAAATAAACAACACAAACATCCCATTTTTTACAAGTTCTCTCCACTTATCGTTCGAGTACATTTTCACCTAAGTACATTTAACGCTCCTAGAAACTTCTCCCGATATTATTATAATTTATATTGTCCAATATTCAGTGATTATTTCACTTCATTGACGACAATATAATCACAATAATCTTTCGAAAATATATTGAATCAAATTCGAATTCAAACTGACCACTTATTAAGTACTCCAATGCGCATGATCAATTATTAGGATACTTAAATCCCAAAAAAGGGAAATAAATGTGATCACAGTTAAATATTTAGTTTTGATAAATAAAACATAATTGATTTTATTTTATAGAATGTTACTAGTAATAATAATAATTTCTTAAATGGATTTAGCAAAATAAATAAATATCTCTCTCTAATAAGAACACAAAGAAACGTGAATTCTCGTTTACTCATGCATACAAGATGAAAGTAGAAGGTGTAGACAACGAAGATATGCATAAAATGAAATCAAGTAAAGAGAGAAGGAAGAGTACAACCTGTCGGTAAGAATACACCATACAAACATGCCAATACACAAACACATACATACATATATATACATGGAATATCAAAAATACACAGTAAATAAATAAATCCAACCAACATTGTTCATACACAAACTGAAATTAGTAATTATGTATACACACTGTTCTATAGATAATCCGATAAGAAGTTGAAGGGAAAAAGTAATGAACCATATTTCGATACATATATTGAGAAAGAAGATCGAAAAGAGATGGTAGAGTGGGGTGAGGCGGGAAGTCAGTGAATGAGAAATGACAGTAACGAATAGAATAGAAGATAAGATGCATTAAAAAGGTAATTTATGAGTTAATAATGATAATAGTAAATATTTCATTACTTCGTAAAAATAGAATCTGACCATAAAACACACTCAAATTATATATAAGACTTATATATTTGTACTATCGAAAAGTCATTGGTAAAATGAGTAAATTTATCCAATAAAACTAGTATATATGTATCCGCGTGTGTGTTTGTTCAAGATATATATAATTCTCATCGTTTAATGAGAGTGTACATGTTCGTAACTCAGCAGTACCCAAAGAGGAATATGTAGGTACACACACAGTCTGTGTATAAATGTGTGTTTAGATGTATTTGTACTAAATGAATTCATACTTTGATTATTTGTATAAATGCATATCAACCTATCTTTACATTAATAAATCAAACAAACAAATATTTTTATAAATAAAAATAATATATTTGTAATATCCCAATGAGTAGAAAATTGGATTTTCTGACGTTTCGTGACTTAGTGTAAGTCACTTCTTCAGAGAATAAATAACCAAATTAAAATTAATCCAAGTTTAAATAGTACAATGGAACAATGCACGAATAATATTTGATCAATCAAAAAACAAATGAACAAATGAATGTAATCAGCATCTTACAATTTAATAATTTTCCTATGAAGATTATTAGAAGCATATTAAAACAAAACAGTTTATTACATTATAATAATGATTCGAATGAAATGCCATGGATTGGTACTGTAGTTCTACCATACCGTCATGGCACAACAGAAGAAATCCAAAGAATCTTAAAACATCACAGAATCAAAGTGTATTACAAAACAACGGACACACTACGTAATACTTTAGTTCGCCTGAAAGAAAAAATCCCTTTCATGTCCACACAGAACTGCGTCTACAAATTAGGTTGTATTGATTGTGATGCCTATTATATTGGAGAGTCATCCCGCGAAATCGTGACTAGAGCCAAAGAACATATTAGGTACACAAAGAAACCTCCTAACAATCCTGTAGAATTGAACCAACTTCAAATTAAATCGGCAATAGCAGTTCATGCCATTTTCAACAACCACCAAATCGATTTTAAAAATATCAAAATATTGCAAAAAGGCTTTTCCAACTACAAAGAAAGGAGGGTAGCTGAGGCGTTCCATATAATGCTTAATCCCACTTCTCTCAATAGAAAAGAAGGTCTTACCATACATCCTACTTGGACCATCTATCCTAACCATTCAGTCTGATCGTATTTACAATTTCACACTATCATATTACAAATTTAAACTCTATCCTTTCTTACCATATAGGTCACACAGTTTTCATTCTTTAACAATGCACACATACATACATACACAAATTTACATACTTATCACTTATGAATCACCGTGACAGAAATGACATGACATCAACTTGTTCAGACCTGTTTTTTGATTGATCAAATATTATTCTTACATTGTTCCATTGTACTATTTAAACTTGGATTAATTTTAATTTGGTTATTTATTCTCTGAAGAAGTGACTTACACTAAGTCACGAAACGTCAGAAAATCCAATTTTCTACTCATTGGGATATTACAAATATATTACTTTCATTTATAACAATCAACCCAATGCTCAATTTATTCGAAATTATCAAATCAAACCTTGGTAATGACACCTACAAACAAATATTTTCTTATTTCCCTGTATAATAAAACGAAATTCGTCGAAATAAAAATGTTATTTTCATCATATATAAGGGTGGGTTTTCTTCGTGCATTCGTTAGACTTATTAAGTTCGTATATCAAGTAAGGAGATCCAATACATTCAGAAAAAAAAAACAATTTTAAGATCGGTTTACATCGTTATTAGTTGAGTTGTCCTGTTGTGGATATTCAGGACTGAATTTTGACCAGTCTATGTAATTCAGTGGGTAGAAGTTGTATCACCAACTGAACCGTATTAAATTGTACAAAACATGTGTCCTAAATTCCGCTGCTAGCCATAATCCATCTATTCTATATTATCTTATATTTCCTTTGTCAATACATAACAATATTCTAAAAACAAAATATAGTAGTACTGGCCAAACTTTCATGAAGAAAACAAAGTTTTGAACATGTTGAAAGAATGTTCTCATTATAGGAAACATATTTCATTCAGCTGCAGATTCCAACATATATTTATGATACTTAATATGTTGTCTGCTTTTTATCCATAAAAGTGAATTGATTTAAATTATAATGATTTAGTGAGTAAAACTATGATGAAGAGACAAATGAACGAGAATGACAAACGTTCGAAGCTATTTTTTTAGATCAGTGCTTATATTTCTTAATGTGTATCTATTAAACAATCAGCACACAAGTTTTTAATATTCTCTTAATTGTAAGGTTTTAGTTGACCTACTAACTGATGTTACACCCTTCCATGTTCCCAAACTATCGTAATATAATTAGAAACTTGTTATTCCAGTTGGCACTGTAAATGACCTGGTTAGGTATATGGTGAGATATATATGCCTATAAAGATTTAAGTCTTTGAGTGAACGTAATAAAATGTAAATTCGGTTTCTTTTCTTGTGTTGTGATTGAAACGTAGAGGAGAGAGGAACTTTGGGTGGATCTATAAGCGTTAGTATATCAAGTCACCGAGTCAGAATATGAGTATTTTCGGTTCAAAGATGACAGAGAAGGCATCGTTAAAAAACATTAGGTGAAGCTAGTACAAAAATTTAAGATGGACATTTACACTAATATTGAAAAGGATGAAATAATAATGATGATAATAATGATAATGATACATACCACGTTTCCCAGTTACATTCGGAGTAGATCGACAGGAATAACGACCTAAAACAAATAGGAATAAAATAGAAAATTTCTCTCAAAGAAAACTGAAAATCCTTCACTATCATTGATTACATAAAGAATGATTATTATTCAACGAATGTCATACAATCTTTCTAATATCATATTGAAATACGGACATGTACTACGATGTGAAAATACAACTAAGGAAATTCCACAACTACAAAAATTTGTAGTAAATATTTTGAAAATTGAAAGTTGAATAATGAATGAAGGGAATTTAGCTCATTAACCAGTAAGAAGATAGAAGACAACCAGGTTTTCTTCAGTTAAGTGAGTAATGGTGTGGTGCTTAATGAATAACAAATCAGATAATTTTTTTTAAAAACTGACATTTGAAACAACATACTGAGGCATAGAAATATTTATTGTTATTTAACACATAGATATTGGTACAAAGGGGCACCGAATACATATGCGCCACACAAATATCATTCGACATGTGTGAGGGCTGTGATGCTGCTCGGGTGCCCAAACCGAAACAGGTGGTATTCTTAAGGGGCCACACCCCGAGCCTTCGACCTGAAGGTCTGATCCACAAGGCAGTGGAGCATCGTAAGGAGATGCAGTCTCATGGTAACCGGTGACGAATAATTGGTTCATACACCATTTGTTCACTCAGGATACTGGAGCCCATGTGCACCATTGGTTTAGGATTAGGGTTTTCCAGCTCCCTTAGGTGTACCCTCCATGTCCACCAACCCGATTAAAGCGCCGGACATTCGCTTTTCGTCCTCTCCATTTCCTAAATAATGCCCCTGCCACGAGAAGGCAGTGAGTAGGACTTCCTGGCAGAGGCTATATATGCGTGGCCATGTGAGAGCATTTCGAGAAGGAGAGCGAACTCTGTCCACTCTCGACCGTACCAGGGCATTTGGAGGCACAGAACTAGTTAAAAATGAAAAGTAACCCGCCAATGACCAAGTACAAAAACCTAAGAGGGAGGAAATTTATTGCTCAGATAATGTCATACCAGTAAATAAATAATGGGAGTTTTTAAACATTTTACCTATAGTGTCATTTTGAACGCATCGCCCAATATAATCACAGTTAATGAAACAAATTAAGTTCAATCACTTTAAGATACGTTTCTAAAACGTGTATACACATGTAATCAGAATAACATTTTCAAATGATAGTTAAAAATTGTATTTCAAAATGATAACTTGATTAGAATCAAATCACTGTTGAATCTTTACATACAGGCGACATAAAAACGAAAAGAAATTACGGATAAAATCTCATCAAACCTATGAAATGAAAGAAAACACAGTATGCCATCATCAAAGTATGAGAAGTCATAACGAGAAATTATAATTCATACAATCATATGATCATTTAGTGCAAAAGATTAACCAATCGGTTATTATCTATAAGAATATTATAACACAACTTTCTAAACTGTATTCATTATTTTGATTTGATCACACGATCGTTAATTTATGCCAAAATGATCGTTTGTAATCATTTTAGTTAAAATGAGAGAAAAAAGAAACTTTAATGATAATAAACTGATTAAGTATGGAACAAGTAACAAAACACTATCACGTTATTATTATTATTATTATTTAAGAAATGGATGAGATTTTGCATTAAAATGCTCGAAAAGAAATTATTCTCCTTTGGTATACGTAGCTTAACTTTTTGTAAACTCTTGAACTGTCCATAATTGGCAGATATTCAACAGACGGATTACACTAGAATTTTTCGATTATATGATGAATTTAAGTGTGAAATAGATATTCCCCAAGATTATCATTAACTTAAGCCTATTTAAGCAATGAGATATCTAAATCATGTTCACCGTATAGGTATTCAGAGATTCAACAAAAAGATTTTTAAGAATTGTAAGTGGAGAGATAACAATAAATTCATTTACAGAATATAGGTTTGTATATTCGACTCGGAGTTACACTTTAGGAACAAGGGTCAGTAATACCATCTGTCTTCGCGAACCAATTAGACGGAACAGGGTTGAAAACAGTGAATTTTCTGATGAAAGTTGAGAGATTTAACATTTAGTCACTCCACTAAGCTAACCCATTAAATAGATTACGAGTTATGGTTGGTTATGCTTAGCTTAATTTAACAGCTGAATAAACAAAAGACTATCAGACATTTTGATGTCTATGATAAAAGACATATCAACAGTCATATGCAGGAATATCAGTAGTATTTTGAGGAGCATTGTCAGAAAGCAAACGTAATGAGACAATGATTTCACACAATCGAATTAAACACAGCTCTTACAGTGTTTTTTAAACAGTGGGCAAAATCAAAAGTGTTGGCAGTAAACTAAAATACGTAAATGTTAGGACAGAACATAGAAACTTATTTTTCGTAGTCACTTTATGGGTCATAACTGAGCCAGTAGACTATTTTCATAGAAAGTGGTTGTTAAATGAAGCGCAAAACAAATTCTAAAGTCCCTCCGGTTACTCATCACTAACCAAAGAGCATCACTTCGAATGAGATACTGACACTTATCAAAACATTAGACCAACAAATTTGATGATTTAGTTCTTTAAATTCCATGTATTAAAGAGAGAACTCTAGGTATAAACCGAATAGATAATTAATATTGCGCAACAAAATTTAATCCCAACTAAACAGTATTGAGGGATTGATAAAACAAACTATTTCCGATTGTTGTTCAATAAGCAGTTGACGTCTATCTGAAAAGCCTTCAAAGTTTTGTTTTAGAAAAACCAAACAAAACGTAAAGTGTATCAATTAAAATCAAACTAGGACTTAGCTGGTCAATAAATATTTGAAATTTATTAACGCGCCTTTGGCGCAAAAACAAAGAAATTCAAATTTTCCAAATAAAATTACAAAATAAGGTCCTTTCCCAAGTGAGCTCTGGGGATCTAACGTCCCCAACAATTCTCGAACAAAGAAATAATGTAGTGAAAGAATATTACACCAGGCATTTTTCAAGACAGGTAGTAAATAAAATACAAATCTATCATATGAATTGCAATTAAAAATTAAACGCCATATCTCAGATTTAAACTAATCAGTTTGAATGTTTTTTATGAATAAAATAACCAAAAGGTAAAGTGCTACCTAAATCATTTGACTTTGAGTGAGTATAATGAACTAGACTCTAATTTAATCGTGAGGATTTTTTTTCGTTCAAAATAATTCAATTAGCGTTTAATTCGACAGAATCTGTTGTAGATACCTTGAGAAAAATATGTTCTGAATTTGCTTCCAACTTAAATAGCTGGACAATTTACATTTCTCAGTCAGTTGTGAGCAACTTAGAACCTGGAAAATATGTGCTCCAGTTCAAAGTACCACACTATATCACAACAGTAATATAAGATTAAAAAGATAAATCCTAGATTAGTAGAAGTAAGAATAAGATCGGCGGATATAGCAATAATTAGGAAGACTATATAATTCGAGGGTAAATTTTGTAATCATACAATAAAAACATATGAGGTAATTTTAGAACTCAAGATATAGGGGAAGACAAAGAATGAATGAATCTGAGTCATGTCACAGAAAGTCGCTAAACTCTGATTGAAATAATCAAATGAACCCCAACAATATAGTCTACACTTACCAACATCTCTCAATCTAAAGTTAGTAAACCACACAATGGGTTTAAATTACTTAAATGAAAGAGGTTGTAGTTTTTTTTAATTCTGGGGCTGATAAAGGTAGAAGATCATAATTCTAAAAAATTATATTAATAGTTTTATCGTTTTGGATTGACGATCAAATGAGATCTAAGGTAGATGAATCCTAAAAAGATTTGACTGATTCCACAGAAAAACGAATCTGCTGGCATTCTTAAACAACTTCTAAAAAAGGAAATGATTGCTAATTCAAAAAAATACTACTAATGTGCACAACAGATGTTCAATTCCAGTTTAATAACACCATATATCGCCTAATCGATGCCGTAGCAATGAGAAGCCCACTAGGTTCAATTATGGCAGATATTTTAATGGTGTATCTTGAAAACACGGTACTTAAACAGGCGATTAATGGAAAGACGGAATACTCCAGATATGTTGATGACACGTTTATTGTCTGTAACAATAAACAGCATGCAATCCATCTGCTAAAACTCTTCAATAATGCTCATCCTCACATACAATTTATTATGGAACACGAACAGAACGACATGTTCCACTTTCTTGATGGTGCCATAAAACGTAGGGAAGATGGGACAGTACAACGTTCGGTTTATCAAAAAAGCACTTGTAATGGCCTTTATTTGAATTTCAATAGTTTTTGTCCAATCAGTTTCAAAAAAGCATTGGTTAAAACACTATTTTATAGGGTAGAAAGGATATGTACCACCGACAAACTGGAAGAAGAATTAATGAACGTTGAAAAACGTCTAAGAGACAACTTTTACTCACAAAAGTTTATTGACAAATATAAAAAGCCCAAAGAAAACAAGGCAGAAATAATTACGGTCAATAAAAAGCCGGTATATATAAATCTTAACTTAAAAGGTGATGATGTCGCACACATAATCAACAGGAGACTGAATACTGCGCTAGCCAGAACTTACCCGGCGGCTAGACTTTTAATTCTCTATAAAACATGTTACGGCCAACTGTATTTGTAAATTTACGTGTACCTGCCAAAGCAGCTACATTGGCCGAACAGAAAGGAGGGCATATCTTAGATTTTTTGAACACGTTCCAGAAAGTCTCAGAACAAGGGGAAGAAAGACTCTGAATAGTGCAATCATCAAACATATCCTTGATACAGGATATCTGGTAGATTCCTTGCAATCGTTTATGGTGATTAGTAAGCAGCCAAACTCCAGTCTTCTGAAGTTTACTGACACCGTTGCTATCAATCGTCAAAAACTTGACTTATGTGTTCAAAAGGAGATGGTTATTAATCTTTTCTTGCCTTGGTGACTAATATTCCTTCGCTGTATCTTGATATTTTTTTCTTTGAAATTCTTTCTTGCATTTGTTACATCATTGAGTTTGATCTCAACTATCTTCCAAATTAATAATCTTATTTTATCAACTGAGCTCTACTCACTATATTCCTGTCAATATTTATTCATTATGTAATCACTTGTTTCTAGCCGTTTGAACTGTTTTCACAATCAATGTTGTGGAATGTACTTTCACATAAGATATATGTTTACGACATTCAGTTTATTAATTATATTTACACCCTTGCTATACTATACGAATATGTCTTCAATATAATTTCCAACCAAACTCTTTCATGTAAGTAATTGAAACCCATTATGTAATTATGATTCTTAAATATCACAGGTTGTAAGCAGCTGACGAGAACCTACGAAATAAACTGAATTCATGATATTGTGTTAGAACGTTTGTTCTTCCTCTTTTCAAAATAATAAAGGGAACTATGTGTATGAAGGTTAGTAAACTTATTAACTGACATCACGTTTGGGTTCTCCTGCACCTACATTTCTTCCAAACTATCACTAGAACAGTCAATCGCGCGTCAAGACACACTGTAGTTATGTATACGCAACACACATCCCGATCGACTTAGTTAATGAATATTCACCGTTTTTCGAATTCCTTAACCAGAACGCTGTGTTTAGCCTCAACACTCCTCACTCAGTAGATCTGATATGCCAGAGCAATGCTTCGAAGGGATTTACGTCCAAAAGCTAGTCCGTTATGCTAAAAGTGTATGTTTCACAACCAATGTACACAGAACTCGTTTTTGTCACAAATAAAAATCAAACAATTTTTATCTAAGTTTGATTTGAACTGACTACATCAATGTTTAAGTTTTGAACAGCTTTAAAAAAAAGGAAGAATTCCTGTTTAATAATCAAACGCATCCATTAGAAGTGCAGAATGTACCATAATAACCAAAAAAGAATACATATTGAGATAAGAAAGAATACAAATATGAAGAACCAACTAGTGATTGATGTACTGATAATCAAGAGGAAAAATAAAAACTGTATATTCCCAGGGTAATTTCCATAAAAACTGATTACGATTTGCAGCTTCTAATCAATACCTAAAAATAGTAAGCGCCTAAGTCACAAATATACTAATTCTGCGAAATAGAGATAATTAACACTTATTTGTTTCTCTGAAGTTAAGAACTGATATTCAGTTGATATCTAAATAACTAACCTGTTGATTGGCGCATATTTTCTAAGCCTGGTGGCAATGTAGATGAATTCATTCGTTCCGAGCGACGAAAACCCATAACACCAGACCCAAGAGAACTGGAACCAGGTGAAAGTTGACGTTGTCGAACATACATATCACGTTTAGGTCGACCGGTTAGTGAAATCGGTGTGTTCGATACTCCAACAGATATCGATGTACCACTATAACTTGGCAATTTAGATGGGCTATATCCATTTACTTGCTTTTGTAATTCAATATCATTTGAACGTCGGAACGGCATAGAATTACTTGTCGCTGATCTAACTACATCTCGTCTTGATATATGATGATGACTTGGTGTATGATGTGATGAACTGAAATGATTAGATCTTGCTAATGATCTAGATCGATGACCGACATTTTGATTATTCACAGTAGGATTTAATTCTTCACTACTCATTATAGCGGTAAAACCTTGTTCTGCTAATTGAAGATAAGATATAGGATATTGACGACCATAATCAACACCTGGTGGACAGATACGTCGTTCACATGCTGATGGTGTAAATGAATTAGGTGATACAGTTTGTCCAGGTGTAGTAGATAGTAAAGTATCAATTGTTACTGGTCCCATCCCATGTTCCTTATAAAAAGGTAGAAGTTATTTACAGAAATTGAGTTGTATGGCGAATAGTGAGAAAAAGGTAAATATACAATAAGGAAAACAATTGTATAAATGAGGATTTGTCAAATCCGGCTTATCCCAGTTCGCTAGACCATACTATCGTGATATATATGTCAATGAGGAGCGAAAAACTACTAAATTTTGACTAAGTTTCTTTCAGCTTCTTGATGAAATCAGTAGTGTTATAACAAAGTTGGTACCATTATTAAAGTTATCGTGATTTGTGAAACACTAAGAACCTCTGATGCAGAGAAGTTAATAAACTGTAAGGATTTTTAATTTGACACAATTGTTTATAGTGGAGTGGAGAAAAAACCAACAGCTGGAGAGACCTTACAATGGGTTCAAAAATAGTGAAGAGCTAAAATTCCAAAACTCTAAGCAACACAATAAGTGGGTGGTTTGGTATTAAACAACGATTATAAACAAACCACTAGACAACTTAGCGATGCTCAACACAATAAAATATGTGGTTTACGTCTTAAAGTCCTGTTACTTTGTTTCAAAATCGATAACCTCTGATAATAAACATATTTAAAGTATTTTACACAATAAAAATGAAGAGAATACATGTCCATAGATTTGTAGCATATCTACTTCTCAGTGTTCAGTGTGTGTGCAGCATCTGGTGTCTTCTGTTTGTGTAGTGAGTGAATAATGCATTTACGAGTTTAACTTTTACTAAAGATTTCATTTCAAGCTGTAACTTTCACTTTTTAAACTGTTTTGCATCCGGAAAGTTGGGGTGCGCTACAGTAGCGTACCAACATAAGACATATGTAGATTGCTTTACATGATTTAGCACAAATACATCGAAAAAAAGGTTCTTCTCAAACAAACATCAAAGTCCCATTCAATTCAATACGATGTGAACAAATGAATATTTCACACACACACCTAACATAGTCAATCATGTACAATTCGTGGAAAAAACAATAGTATTCTATTGATAAACATGTTTATGTCCACGTATAGAACAGACCTCCAAAGTAGTAGAAAATAAAAATTCATGAAGTAAAACTTGAAAAGGGTGCGTTCTATTTTGATTAATGACTTTTCTACTTTGATGCATCAAAATGAAACGCAATGGGAAAAGAAAATTCCGAATAAAATATAACAGATTAACGTAAATGTTCACCTTCATAATTAAAAAAAAAAGAAAACAAACTTATCAATGTCTTTACTTAGAAATAATATAAAATCAAACACGAATACCAATAAGAATCTATGATTAATACTAACAAATGAAATCATTATGATGTATTCAAAAACAAGGGGATATTTGAGAGTAAAATTATTTTCAAGAACTTGAACTTTAGGTTCTATTCATGACATACTGTATTCTAAGAAGAATCGTACTACAGTATACACATAAACGTTATGATTTAGCCCACAAATGTCCTGGTACGGCCGAGAGTGGGGAAGTCCGCTCTCCCTCTCGAAATGCTCTCACATGGCCACGCGTATATAGTCTCTGCCAGCGAAGTCCTACTCACTGTCTTCTCTCAGCGGGGGTGTTGTTTACGAAAATGAGAGGACGAAAACCGAATGTCCGGCACTTTAACCGGATCCCAAACCAAATCAATGGTGCACATGGGCTCCAGTATCCCGAGGGAACAAATGGCGTATGAACAATTATTGGTCACCGGCTTCCATGGGACTGCATCTCCTTACAATGCTCCACCACCTTGTAGATCAGACCTTCAGGTCGAAGGCTTGGCGAGTGGCCCCCTCAGAAAACCACATGTTTCGGTTTGGGCACCCGAGCAGTATCACAGCCCTCACACATATCGAATGAGATTTGTGTGGCGCATATGTATTTGGTGCCTCCTTGTACCAATATCTATGTGTTAAAAATAAAAATTAAAAAAAATTGAATATAGTGAATTACGCATCGATTATGCCTAAAATATTTACAGAACAGGTCATTGGTAAAGTTAAAATGTCACACAAAAATGAATAAGGAAAGTTACTACAAATTAACAAGTAAAGAACACATTACGCTGGAAAATGGAGATAGACAAGAGAAAAATGAACAAGAATTGGATAGAACTAGAAAAGAAGGCCCAAGACAGAGTGGGTTGGAGAATGCTGGTCGGCGGCCTATGCTCCATTGGGAGTAACAGGCGTAAGTATGATATATAATAGATGTTGTTGGAATGATAAAGAAGATTTGTAGATTAGGAGGATGATTTTAGTGAAGAAATTCTAATGGACAACTACTATAGGGAATTTGTGCTGATGAGTTTGTCTACAGGAATAACGCAAACTTTATGATTACATAGCTCAGCTCAGAAAAAGTAAATGAACTGTGAAAAATGTTGTCGGTAATATAATAATAATATCCAGTGAATTAACAAGGATGAATGTTTCGCAGAAAGCAACAAGAAAAAGCTTATAAAGTTTGAATAAACGTTCCATAGTATGCAACTGACAAAACCGATTACAAACGGAGTGGGATGACTCTACTTCTGAACAGGGCAAACAAAACATTTAAAAGTACTTCCTTCACAAACCTAAATTTATTTTCTTCGAGTTGACCTATTATATAGAAAAGAAATAGTCTTACAACATTTTATAGGTCCCTCAAGACTTGGTAAATGACGAAACAGGTTACCTTGTCCTGGTTGTGGCATTTACTGTCTATCAGCAATGACTAAAACTGATCAGTTCGATCATAAGTAATAAATGTATGTTGTATAGTAGCTACTATAATAAAATAATGATAAACCTATAATTTTAAAACAACAAGATAAATTTATTGACAGTAATTGATCATTCAAATATTCTCTTCCGTTTTCAGTATGCTATGAGGGCTTGTAAATTACTTAAAATATTGTATCAATTTTTCAACAAGCGAGTGGATTGAATACAGTGTCATAAATTTCAACAAACTTCTTCAGTCACTGATTGTCATGTCTGCAACATTATTGCTGCAGATAACTACATTTAAGGCTTTTGAAAGAAAAAAGAAACCCATAAAGTCCTTCAGTATTTTATCTAGTAAGCAATCCTCACCGCTTCTAGAGATAGATGAACAATATTTATACTGGTAATGTATATATGTGCCGATTAATGATTAGTAAACATGTCATGCTTGTCTAGTACATTTGTGATGGTCTAATTCTATCAACCAGATTGTTATTTAGCCACTATCTTATGTGGTTTTATATTGCGTGCACTGTGTTTTGATGTTAGGTGATTGGTAGAAATCCTTAGATCTAAGTTTTATGATGATTAGCATTCGTCGGCAAACCAATGCTATAACGTTGACGGAAATGGTTTTTCCAATTTTCTGTCGTTCAATGTCACAATCTGATACCTTATCACTGAGTTATTCGGGCAGTAAATTAGTGGTAACTTCTCAGAATGTAAGTGGTATCGGTTGGAATTACAAAGAGAGAGAGAGAGAGAACTAACTTGAAACGTAATCTTACAATTTACTACCTACCGATTGCCTCCAATCACTAAACAGGTCATATATATTTACTGACCAAATAGATCAATGAAATCACATGATATAAGTGAAATCAAAAGTGAAATATATCATCACTAGAGAATATCAGAACAGTTGGATATAATCGCAATGGTAGTTCACTTTTATTAAACCTTACAGATATTATGATTCATTAGTTTTGAAGTTTTAAAAACAAAACCTTCTTTTACTTTAACCCTTCAATCAAATATACTAATAGTAACTTTGAAAGTGATGATTAAATGACGATAATAATAGTAAACATTAATAGTGAGAGATATTATTGTTTCTATTACTTAAGTAACTGTTTTTTGACAATTGAAAAGAGAAAAACAGTGGTTCACGTTGTTGTTTTTTTTTACGGTAAACAAGTCAATGTGAAAATTGAACGGAGAATAAATTGAATAGATTGTAGAGAAAATGACATTTCAAATACTAATGAAGTGAAAATGACCTCGTTCACTAGAAAATTTGACATTTAACATACAGGTTGTCGATACGAACCTCTTCTTATCTACTTTCCTTCCAGCAACCAAGAAGTTTAGTTACCTCACAAACACATATGCAAAATGACTGTAGGTCGATTAAATAAATGTCTAATTGATAAACGATTTACAACCAATGGATAAGCATAGAAAACAAAAGAAACTCCCTTTTTTATATGAATAATCTTAAAATATGCTCACAAAATCAAATTAACTATGATAAACAAATCACTAACGAAAAAGTTTTTTTTTAAAACAATTATCCATATCGATAAACTTAAGTTATATAATAAAATACATTTTTACATTGCAAATTCATCAAAATACTGTCTAGATAATGCATTCGTTTGGTCCTATTATGGGACTCAGCAGTGCCCAGACGTGCAAAATAGGATGAAATGACCGTCCTGTGCTTTCAGGTTTTCAATAGTGGTCTAACATCAATCGGTTCATGATCTCAATCAAAAAACTTAATAATCTCCACAACCCTATAGTGATGATGAGAATATAATTTGACTCTCACTCTTCCTAACAAAATTGAGGACGGACAAACAATAATGACTGTGATAGAAATAACTTAGCACTAATTCAAATCCTCAATCCAAGCGTAATTTAAACATTGCTAAAAACACCAGTGTTATTATGTATTGAATTTGCATATATGTTTAAACGGTGACTGCCTGCCGCAATCCCTTAACCATAAAAGATTTCAGACAATCTTATCCACACAGGATAGAATGTTGCAGAACATTTGTATTTTTCTTAATCTCAGTTTTTTTTAAAGAATAGATAAGAAAGTAAGCCTACAAGTCAACGTGATGTCTTAACTAGACTTTTGCAATAATTGAAATCCCTTTACACTTTTGAAAATGTGAATGAACAAACTGGAAGCAAATCAATTCATGGTAATAATTTCACAGTCAGGAATCGCAACAAACTACCACTATTATTAATATATTACAGGTTATTAATTGTGTTAGTAGTAATGGTAGTAGTGA